AGCCTTGAATTTTTTTAATCCATCTCCTGACTTGTGCCTGTTCACAACTTCATCCCAGAGATCTTTTGAGAGTGCCTTGCCACCCATAGTTGACTGTTTGCTTCAGTTGCACTACCAGGAATTGAAAAGCTCCAGGAAAGCTCTTTTCATGCTGAGCTCATCAAAATGACCACAGCTGAAAGTCAAATGGCTGTGTGTCCAACTGAGGTGATTAGCTACACCTGACTGAGTTTACAAGTCATTTTTAGGAGGGTGATCCTTTTCTGTTTTTTAATTTCTTTGTATTTTTTTTCTGACATGTTGCTGTTAGATCTTTCACTTGGATGTTATAAGTTGCACTTATACAGCTGGATAAAACAAAATGTCTGTTTATTTCAGGCCGCAAAGCAATATGATTATTTTAAAGGGGGTGATTCTTTTCTATACCCACTGTACATAGCCACAGTGCACTGAATTATTTGTACATCTATTAATCCCATGCGAGACAAACTGACAACAGATGAAGGGCCAGACCAGTCAACTTGGATTTTTAGAGGGACTCCAGCTGCCTGTCAGAATTCAAAAAAGGCGAGCCAAAAAGGAGTAGCCTTCCTATTAGGGTGAATGACTAGTGTGCCTAAGGTATGAATAGTCCAATGAATAACAAATTCTCTCTAAAAGCAAAAGTTTTCACACTCCCAATTGGGGCCCAGGACCCTTAAGAATAATTTGAGCCTGTATAGAGGGAATGAGTTTGGGTGCAGCGGAAATGTCTTTGCAGCGGCAGGATCTCTAAAAGACCTGAAGCCTAGGACGCCAGCCTGATTCCTCCAGAGACAGGGCCTCTGATGGCGATAACCCCTATTACAGATTACAGGAATACCTACAAAAAAAAAAAAAACCAAACCCCATGAAATAACCAAAGACTTATGGGCTGAGGTCACCTGTACTGTGTTTTAATGAAGACTTGTTGCTTACATGCAGTGGTAATGCAACTAGGTGTGAGGCAAGACCTAAGGTCACTCCACCCAGCAGATGACATCCACTCAGTGCATAAGCCTTAAACTCTTTAGCAGTAAAATCAAAGTTGGTAAAAATGTAAACATATTCCCAGTGCAAACAGTGAAGTAGCTCCCGATACTTCTGCCAAAATAGCCTTCACTCAAAGTGGTACATCAGATACAAGGTCACACTTGAGCAGTGCCAAGGCTTAAGACTCAAAAAAGCACACTGGCTAACAGTACACTCTGGTCTGGGAAGCACCACAATTCAAAGCCTAGTGCCCAAAAGATCACATTCCAGATTAGCCCAGCGTGCCCAGTCCAGAGGAGCCTGGATACAGCCTCCAAAGCTAGGTTGAAGAAAAACCAATCTGAATAGATGATATGCAGAATGCAGCTCAAGCAGCTGTATCAGAAAAAAATCCCAGTTGAAGTTGAGGCAAACAAATATTTTATGAAGCAAGGAAGGCTAGGAGAAAATGGTTAAACTTTCTTTGGCAAAGTAGAGAACGGGCATCCAACCTCCTAGAACACTAGCAAAAAGCTGAGGAATGCTGGTAGACCACAGACAACATGTCATACTTTAAGGCTCCATGCACACTAGCGTTTTTTTAAGCTTAAAAAACAGCTGGATAACAAAAACCCGCTGGTAATAGCGTTTGAGTGTTTTTTTCGATTTTACAGTACATGTAGAGTAAAAAAAGAAGAAAAAAAAAAGCTAGAAAAATGGCTGTTTGTAGCATTTAGTGTATTTTTCTGCTATAAAACGCTGCAAACAAAAAACTCTACAAAACATTTTTTTTCCTTATAGTGAAACCAGTGCAGTGCTACAAACCAGACCCGCCCTAAAACCAAATGTGTTAGGGAAAAATTTAATAAATTGAAATACAAAAAACAATCATGTTCCCCTTGAGAAAGTTACATGACGAAACGCGTTGGAGAGGAGCTTTGGATGATATCACGATGCAATACGGAGCCAGCAATTACTACAGCAGTAGTGCACACTGACCCATATTTGTTCATGCCAGAGGACACACTGCTAACTAAGCCGGTGAGCATTACGGCACCTGCGGTTTATGTTATTTCACATATGGAAGGATGATTATATCGGAGGCACACTGCTGCAGTTTTATTATAGTGGACTCCTCATGGCGGTTTTTCCAGATTGTGGAGCAATAATAGAGGCTTTTTACACTTGGTGCAGTCAAGCACCTTATACATGCGAGTGAGAATTTGAATATATTTTTTGCCAATAAAATGTTTTAAAGTTTTACGAACTATCTGAAGTTTTTTTATTTATGTGGTGAATTGGTGGTGAGAGTTGTACTCTGAACGAGGTGTTAACAACTGAAATCCATCAAGTTGATCTTCAGTGTCCATTGTGGGACCAAAAGTACAGTTAGACCAAACATAATAATATGTGAGGTGGAGGAACTATGCACTCTTGCGTTTGAGGCATTTGGTGATTACAGGAGGAAGGGAGCACCATAAAGAAGAAATGCTTGGATTTTTTATTTCAATTGATTTAAATTTTCCTTACATTTGGATTTAGGTCGGGTTTGGTTTGTAGCGCTGCACTGGTTTCACTATATGAAATAGGGGTTGTGTGTAATAGCGGCTACATAACTGTTTATGCTACAGTATTTTTCACGATCACTATGGTAAGTTTGTTGTTGATTCATAGAAGCACGGAAGATTCTATTTATTTATTGAACGTTTTTTTTCTGCTCCTAGAAGCTGAAGCTCCAAAAACGCTAATAGCCCAAAGTAGTGTGCATGGACGCATAGGATAACACTACTTAGCTTCTAGGAGCAGAAAAAAAAAAATGCTATCAACAGTTTTCCAAGAGCTTAAAAAAAGCTAGTGTGCATGGAGCCTAACTAGTACACAGATAAGATATGAACCAAAACCATTTTCTTTCTAATGCACAAAATCAGACAACCCTGGAGAGCACTTACATCATACTTCCCAAGATTAGGTTTTTGCTTTCCGGCCAAAATTTTCAAAGCTGTGGATTTCCCAATACCATTAGTGCCAACTAATCCTAGCACCTCACCAGGTCGGGGAATAGGCAACCTATAAAAAAAAAAAATAATCTGTGTAGATGAAACAAGTAACAAAAACAAATACAAAAAAAGGTATTGGCACCACACACAAAGGCACAATCTAAAGGCTTGTAGCTAGTAATGTGTGAATGTGTGGGCAGACAAAAGTCATTTTAAAGAGAAGCATGGGTTTCAAAAAAAAAAAAAAAAAAAAAAAAAAAAATTATACTGACCTAGGTGGATGCTGCATTGGTCCGATGCAGCATCTGTTCCCTGCTGCTTTGAAGACTGAGAAATGAGCGAACAAAGATTGCTGATCGCTCAGTTCATAATCTTCATTGAGCAGACAGTTGGTGCCCATCAGTCATTGCTATTCGCTCTGACTCTCCAGTGCTCACTGGAGCACTAGGCTGTGGAAGGAGCGAGGGCAGCTGGCTTGGGCTTTCAGTGGCTTCGGTGAGAGGCTGAGCCAGCTGGCAGTCCAGGCATCTGGGTGGATATTTTCAGACCCTGGACAGGTTCTCTGACATCAGAAGGCTTGACGGAAAAACAGGTCCATGGGGAGAGGTACAGCCAAAAAAGATTTGGCTGTACTTCTCCTTTAAAGGAAACAATTTTAGCGAACAAACGCAGGGGCCTAACCCAATCCTTAACCATTTTAGCTCAGATATTAGTATTTTAGTCACTTCCCAAGTATCTGGAAGAAGCTTAAAGAGATGAAAGATTGTAAACAATGGAATATAAAAATGCTAACAGGAGAGATAAGTTACTTTCCCGCATCCAGAGATGTAAACCGCTACATAGAAAACCTTATACTAAGAAACCTGCAATGGCAAAGAGCCTTTAGACAATTAAGGATAAATACAAAGGAGTAACTACATTTGTGAATATCCGAAGCTTTTTAACACACAATGCATATAAAGTTTGAAGGACATTGATGAGCAAAATGTCAGGCATACATATTCAAATTATTCTACCATACCAGGTATTTTATTTTTTAAATTTTTAAAAGAAAGAGGAAAAAAAAAAGGATGTGGAAAACATTAAAGCAGTAGTAAACTGGAAAAAGAAAAAAAAAAAAAGTTTCCCTTGCAAGGCAAAGTTATAATGTGCTAGTATGCGTCACATACTAGCACATTATGTGAAACTTGGGGTTCACACTGATGCAGTGCCGAGTTTGCAGCGGTTTCTGTGCGAATTCCGCACCACATCACAATCGCACCCCATTCATGCGAACCGCTGCGGGTGTGTATGTCAAGTTAACATCCCAAAATTGGTCCGATGTGCAGAATTGGATTGAATGGGTGTGAATACCCATGCAATCCGATTATAGTGCGGACAAAAAAAAAAAAAAAAGGGTATGGCTCAAATCGCACCGCACAGAATTTGCACGGGAATGTGGTGCGGTTCCTGTGCTAAGCACATATGATATGCCGCACCGCACAAGTGTGAAACCCAGCTAAAACAAAGCCCTCCAGTGGCGTGCTGTAACTGCCGACAGAGCTTCCACCTTTACCAAGTCTTACTACCGGGTTCAGCAGCTCCGGTCCTTTGAAAGGCTGAGCCATGATGACATCTCTCCAATGCATGCGTGCAGGAGTCACTGTTTACGACACACAGCTCTGAAGGAAAAGCACGGATATGCTGTTCCTTCCAAGCACATGCGCCAGCTGCTAGACAATATCTCAAACGATGCATGTTTAGGAGCTATTTGCAGTACCCAACGATAAGCCATACTATTGGCTTACATGTAGGTAAAACATAAAAAATTAACTTTACTACCACTTTAAAACGGACATATTAGACAAACAAAGATCAAATTATCATAAGAAAAAAACAAAACAAAGTTATGTGCGTCTCATACAGCCGAGATCTCAATTTTTGCTTTAACTTATCGAATGTTTGAAAACGCTTTGGATGTTCATTTTAGACACTTCTGAGATCACTCAGTATAAGTTGTGCATTTGACCTTCTTCAGCTGCTTTTGCATTTGCATAGACTCCTATAGGAAGAGAAGGAAACAAATGCATGTAGACACTGGTTCTTATATTATGGAGATACAAATCTATCATTGCTTACCTGTGAAGCTTAAAGGCATTGGCACAATATCGGTGAGTGGTTTCCTTTTCCAAGTTGCTCGGCAGGTTAACAATGGACAAAGCGCCAAAGGGACATTTCTGTTTAAAAAAAAAAAAAAAAAATTAAAAAAATTCCCATGGATAAACCAAATTAATAAATCCTCATGAAGCAGCAGTCAGCATACACTGTTGGTTGTAAGTGTAGTGCAGATTAGGGAACACCTCTGCTCCCACCATACAATGCAATGCCTAGTGCCAAAGGGGACAGAAAGAAAATGTATTTTTTGCAGCATACCTATATTGGAAAATGAGTGGTGCTATACTTATGCCAGGGCCAATGCTTCTGCAAGTGGTAAGTGCTGATACTTAAAGTTCTGATAAACACACACACACACAAAAAAAAAAAAAAAAAAATGTAATACACTATATTACCAGAAGTACTGGGATGCCTGTCTTTACACGCACATAAACTTCAATGGCATCCCAGTCTTAGTCCGTAGGTTTCCATATTTAGTTGGCCTTCCCTTAGTTATAATAGCTTCAACTCTTCTGGGAAGGCTGTGCACAAAGTTTAGGAGTGTGTCTATGGGAATGTTTGACCATTCTTCCAGAAGCGCATTTGTGAGGTCAGGCACTGATGTCAGATGATAAGGCCTGGCTCGCAGTCTCCACTCAAATTCATCTCAAAGGTGTTCTATCAGGTTGAGGTCAAGCCAGCCAAGTTCCTCCACCCTAAACTCACTCATCCATGTCTTTATGGAACTTGCTTTGTGCACTGGTGCGCAGTCATGTTGGAACATGAAGGGGCCATCCCCAAACTGTTCCCACAAAGTTGGGAGCATGAAATTGTCCAAAATGTCTTGGTATGCTGACACCTTAAGAGTTCCCTTCACTGGAACGAAGGGGCCAAGCCCAACCCCTGAAAAACAACCCCACACCATAATCCCCCCTCCACCAAACTTTACACTTGGCACAATGCAGTCAGGCAAGTAACGTTCTCCTGGTAACCGCCAAACCCAGACACGTCCATCAGATTGCCAGACAGAGAAGCGCGATTCTTCACTCCAGAGAACATGTCTCCACTGCTCTAGAGCCCAGTGGCGGCATGCTTTACACCACCTGCAGCTGATGCTTTGCATTGCGCTTGGTGATGCAAGCCTTGGATGCAACTGCTCAGCCATGGAAACCCATTCCATGAAGCTCTCTACGCACTGTTTTTACTAATCTGAAGGCCACACAAAGTTTGGAGGTCTTTAGCTATTGACTCTGCAGACAATTGGCAACTTCTGCACACTGTGCACTTCAGCATGCACTGACCCCGCTCTGTCATTTTACGTGGCCTACCACTTTGTGGCTGAGTTGCTGTTCCCAGTTGCTTCCACTTTGACTGTGGAATATTTAGTAGCAAGGAAATTTCATGGATGGACTTATTGCACAGGTGGCAACCTATCACGGTACCACGCTTGAATTCACTGAGCTCCTGAGAGCAACTCATTCCTTCACAAATGTTTGTAGAAGCAGCCTACATGCCTAGGTTCTTGATTTTATACACCTGTGGCCATGAATTTGATTGGAACACCTGAATCCAATGATTTGAAGGGGTGTCCCAATACTTTTGGCAATATAGTTTATATTGCAGCTTACTAATCCTTACATATGGTAGCTACATTAGTTTTCTTTTTAGGCTTTTTCTTTATTTTACCTTTTTGTCTGCATTCTGGATGACGTAGTAAATCAGACACCTTTGGATAACAGCGTTGTCAGTCTTGGGAGAGGGTAATGTTAATGTTACACTAACAGATTTAGACAGATTTAACAAACTGACACTTTATAAACAGTTATAGCAAATAGTTTTTTTTCTTTTGAAATTCATAAATGAATAAAGTTGACCACGGTAAGCAGCCCTGTCAGTGGTAAATGGTTTGTCTCAACCCTCTGACTGCTACTTTTTCTGGACAGCTTGATCTGTTAAAGCGAGTTGAAAAAAAAAAACCCAACTTTCCAGCTGGATCACCAAGTGGGGGTATAATAAAAAAAAGAAAAAGAAAAAAAAAAAAGGGTAAAAAGCCAAAAAAAAAAAAAAAAAAAAGAGAAAACAAATGCAGCCACCATATCGAAAGATTGGTAAAGTACAAATTGATTACATTTTTACTTTTGGGTTTAATACCATTTAATGGCGTCAGTTACCTGCTGATTAGTATTATTATACAGGATTTATATAGCACCAACAGATTGCACAGCACTTTAAAACGTGAGGGCATACAGTACAATTACAATACAATAGGAAAAAGAGGGCCCTGCTCGTTAGAGCTTACATTCTGAAAGGGAGGGTCAAGTGATACAAATGGTAATAACTGTGGAAGATGAGCTAATGGGGAAAATAAAGTTCAGATATTAGGTGGGGACAAGGAAGGCTTGTCTGAAGAGATGGGTTTTTGGGAATCATCTAAATGTAGACAGAATGAGCCAGCGTATAGATTGGGGAAGGGAATTCCATAGGATAGAAAAGACTTCGGAGAAGTCCTGGAGGTGATAAGGGAGCTAGAGAGTAGGAGGTATTGGGAAGAAAAAAGAACAATTTGGTTGGTATTTTGAGACTAGGGTAGTGATATAGCTGAGGGCCGAGCTGTGGATGGCTTTTTAAGTTGTTAGTATTTTGAACTGAATTAGTTGGGAGAGCATGAGCCAGTGGAGGGATTGGCAGAGAGAAGTAGTAGATGCTAAACAGTTGGTGAGGTGGTCGAGTCTAGCACCAGCATTCATGATGGACTGAAGAGGGGATAGCCTATGTAAAAGTAATCCAATTAGAATGGAGTTGCAGTAGTCAAGGCGAGAGAGTGGGAGTGGACTAGGAACTTGTGGTGTCATTGGTAATGTAGGGGCATACTTTGGAAATGTTGCATAGGTTGAGGCAGCAAGCTTTGGACAGTGATTGGATGTGGGGCCAAAAGAATAGTTTGAGTCCAGGATAACATCTAGCACCTTGGCATGCGGGGATGGGTTGATAGTTGTATCTTCAATCTTAACAGAGAAGTCAGGGGAAAGAGCACGTGGGGGAGGATAGATACACTGAGTTTGAGGAAGTGGTGTGACATACAGACTGATATTTCTGTTAGTAGATTATGAGTGTGGAGACTGATGCAATGAGCTGTGGGGTACAGAGATAGATTTGGGTGTCATCAGCATAGAAATGGTATTGGAAGCCATGGGAGGCTATCAACTGACCCAGGGAGGAGGTGTAGATGGAGAATAGGAGAGGACCAAGAACAAAACCTTGGGGGACCCCGCCAGAGAAAGGAAGATAAGATGAGGAAGCAAGATTGTAATTATTATTATACAGGATTTGTATGGCGCCAACAGTTTACGCAGAGCTTTACAAAATGAAGGTAGACATTACAGTTACAATACAATTTGGTACAAGAGGAAGCAGAGGACGCTGAAGGTGCAGAGAGATAGGGTAAGAAGAGAACAGGTGAAGCACATAATCACAGAGACCAATGGAGTGGAGTTTTATGAGGAGGAGGGGGTGGTCCACTGTGTCAAAGGCAGCAGAGAGGTCCAGGAGTAGGAGTACAAAATAGTGTCCATTGGTTTTAGCTGTTGCTAGATTGTTTGTGAGTTTTAGGAGAGCAGTTTCTGTGGAGTGTTGAGAGGAAAATCCAGACTGAAGGATCAAAGGCGATATAAAAAAAAAAGTTACACAGTCTGTTATAGACTAGGCGCTCAGGGAGTTTGGAGAAAAAGGGGAGCAAGGAGATGGGGCGTAGGTTAAGGTTGGTGGTGTCCAGTGAGAGTGTTTTTAAGTATGGGTGACTAGTGCATGTTTTAGAGAGTTGGAAAAGATGCCAGAAGAGAGGGAGAGATTGTAGGATAAAGCCAGAGGATGATCATAGCATTTGCGAGGAAACAGAGTCCAGTAGGCAAGTGGTTAAGTGTTCATTAGGAAACATTTAGCAACCTCGTCTATAGTAGCGGGGTTAAAGTGGTGTGAAAAGCTCAAGGTTTTTTATCTATTCATGCAGTCTATAATCACTTTAAATGAGGGAAGTAATGAGTGTACCTGTACAAAAGAAGTGATAAGTGGGGGGAGATGTTTGTACAGCAGAGGTCTCATCACAAATTGTATCAATAATATTTTTTGATTGGGGACCTCCTGGGCAATGATTGAGGTAGTGAGTGAAGTCAGTATTTTTGAAGGGCAGGCCTATATTGGTTGAAATCCGAGACCTAGTCTTGTGCCACAGGTGCTCAAAGGCATGGTTACGTCTTTTCAGACTTCTGCTGTTATCCATTTGCCAAAGTTATAGGAGTCGAGACCTGATTCTGTGTGACGGGGGCAATTGTCTAAGAAGGATGACAGTGAACGGTTATAGAGGGGAGTGGCTAGGTTGGGGCAGGACAGGGGTGAGATATTGTCATAGAGTTGGTCAGTAGCAGAGTAGAAATGAAGGGTTAAGATGGCAGAGGTTTCGGTGCTGATGATAGTTTGTGTTTGGTTTTACAAAGATTCACTTTAAACGAATTTGGAATGAAAATTAAAAAATGGTTCTCAAACACGGGATCCCTACTAAATCAAAGTTACCTTGATACAGATACCACATCCGATGCAGAGTGTTTCTGAAATCCATACAATCTTACTCTGTGGAGTGACCTCAATGCACAGTTTTCCTAAGGTAAAGAAGCAAACCAATAATTAATTTCACAAGAACTTTGTTTTAAACAAAATTTAAGAGTACAAACACTGAAGCAATGACTAATCACAATGTGTGGAAAGCAATATATCTTGAAGGTGCACCATACAAGTCTACAGGGTGTTCTAGATACAGTAACTGAACAAGCCAAAGCTTGAATGACAGCATGGTTCTAGTTGTCAAAAGGAGCAACCATTTTAGAATATGGGATGAATTGTAGGATATAGAAATAAAGGAAGAGGGTAAGGAGACTTGGGAACAAGTAAGGTAAAAAGATGGTAAACGCAGTTAAGAAAAATTATGCATAGAATGGGGAGAAAGTCGTCAAAAGAAGTTGGCAGAGTTAAATAAAAGGCAATGCTTAAAATAGGAAACACCACGTCTGTGGACCGAATTCTCACTATTCATAACAAACATGCATTTCATTGCAGATTACCACTATGTTCATTACTTTGCTGTGTGATTCCCAGAATAAAGTTAGGCTGCAACCTGTGTAGGAGTACTATGAGGTGCACTAGGAGTACCACTGAAGGTCAGAAACCATCACTACAGTGGGAAAAGCAGCAATTTTTCTGGTTAGGTTTTCTTTATTTGGCTCATGCATACAGCTTTTAAACATACATAAAAATAGACTTTTTCTACTTGCTGAAAAATCATTTTCTACGAGTTCACTGAGAGACATAAAACTTAACCTTTGTGTTATACTGATGCCTACAGAAGGAAAAATAAATAGATATAAAATATAGGCAACCAAAGATAACCCTTCCTACCATTCCACCACCATGCCTCAGCTTGGTAGCAAAGCAGTACCAAGAGCATGATCATAAAAATGGAAGGAAATGATTATTTGACAAGTACAAAAAAAATCTGGTTTTATTTCTCATTCATTGAGGGACATAGGAAGTCCCACCTTCAAGACATCCAAAGCAGTCCAAAGCTTTGAGCTTGTTTCATTAACAAGTCCAAGAAAATAGAGAACTGGGGATTGCTAGTAGCTCAAAGAGCTGCCTGCAGCTGATGTCAGATGGGGCAAAAACATCTACCTAGTAAAACTTGAAACATAATAAAAAGAAGACCAGGTGGCTGCCTGGCAAAACTAAGCCCTTGGTTCTAGATCACAAATGACAGCAAAGGCTAGAACCCAAAGTTAGGAGACCATAGAGAGACTCTGCCTGAAACATCCAGACAATGTAAATTTACTATGGATGAAATGGTGTTGGACAGAGGGATGGGAGAACAATGTCCTGGTTGAAGCAAAAGGCAGAAACCACTGCAGGCAAGAAGTCTTGGGCCTTAAACCTCTATGTAAACCAAAAAGGGCTCCTTACAGGTGAAGGACACCAGCTCAGACTAGCCTTGCAGAGTTAAGGGCCTCAAAAAACACACCTTGAGGATGAGAGCAGAGAAAGGAAGATCTCTAATGGGTTCAAATGGTTTTGTCTCAAGTGTAAAAGGAAACAGATTACATTACAACAGAGCCACTGGGGAGCTACATGAAAGACCCCTGCACAAAAATCTAACAAAGTAGAACTATAGGCCAAACTTTTTTTCATTTTGGAGTAGGGAGGGTTATAACCTGTCTTTTTTCACCATCTGTGTCCTATCACAGCGATTTCCCTTCACTTTGTTCTATAGCCAGACAGGAAGTGAATGGAAATCCATGCAAATTAAAGGGAATTCCTTGCAGATCCCCATGTCACCAGAACTAGTATCTTCATTGGAGGATTTCCCCTCTATTACGTTTCTGGTGACAACCCAAAATTTGGGATTTTCCTTTACTTTCACTTTCAATAGCAAACAAAAAAGTTTTGCCTTTAGTTATACTTTAAAAGGATAAGTTCACCTTTGGGAACATGCAATATACCCGGATCCTGCAGCCACCACCCGCTGCCTCCCCTGCCTGTGACAGAAGTATGGGGAGAATTTCCCCATACTGTCACTTTTCAAAGACAGCACAGCCATGCAGGGCTCCGCCCACACGGCCACATCATTCATTCACAGTCCTCTGTGAATGAATGGACTACAGGTCCTGACAACCTTAGCAACTATCAGCTTGTAGTAACACCACGCTGTGGTAGTTCATTAATTTTTCCTGTCCGAAGTATCGGCTTGCTCGTACAGGCAGATACATTGACAGTCTTCAAGAGGCCTGCATGGCATAGCTATCTGCTGATTGCTGGTGCAATGCTTTAGAGACTCCTAAAACAAAAAATAAATGCACATTTTTTTACCTGCAAAAAAAATGTGCATTTATTATTTTTTTGTGTAAAGGTGAACTTCTATTTTAAGGACTTAAAGACCAATAGTCTCTGAAACAGAAAAGAAAGGGCAGAAACCTGACCCTCGAGGGAGCTGATAGCTAAATGCTAGTCTAGCTGCAGGATAGAGAATTCTTCCCATGGGGAAACTCCTGTGGTGCAAATGAAGAATGCATTCCAAGTCAGAAGATAGAACCTTGCAGGAAGTAGACTTTCCTAGCTTTGTGCATAGGATGCCTCTGTGCCTCAAAACCCAGACTTTAAAAGACATGCCGTTAAAACCAGTGACCCAAGCAGGATAGCAAATTGGTCCTTCAGACAGAAGATCCAGACAATCTGGCCATGCCCATGGACCGCCTAGGCCAGTTCAGGCAATGAGCATCACTGAAATGCCCCCCATTGTGATCCTAAGACGTTTCATGCTGTATTGGTCCCACAGAGCCACTAGAGTAACCACATCCAGCACTCCCCAGCAGCAACACAGGTCCTGAACACCTCTGTGTGTAGATACCATTACTCGTAGGTCCAAGTGCTGCTGGCTGAGGAGTCCTATGGAAGGAACATTGACCTGAGCAATGTCCAGAACCAGCTACTTCAACTCAAGGAGTTGGTTTCAGCTATGGTTTCTGAAGCTAAAAGGATGCACCTGAACAGCTGTGACTTTTTCATAGTCACAGACATATTGTCTTACACAGCCCTTGCAGACTGTTCCCTCAACAGGAGGTTGTTTAAGTACCTCACAATGGATATGCTGTGAGATTGCTGCAAGCCTAAGACCGAAGTAAGCAGCTTGGAACACCTGACATGCAGACAAGAGGTCAAAGGGCAGGGCCACAAACTAGTAGTACAGGGACCCCAAACTAAGGTGTAGGAGTGGCTCGTGCACTGAAAAAACAAACATGCAATTAGGCATCTTTGATGTCCACAAAAGGTAGAAAGCCTCCCTGGTGAAAAGAGGCGATGACAGACCAGAGGATTTTATATGGAAAATATGGACCCAAGGGAAGGCACCAAGAGCCTTGAAATCTAAGATGAGGCAAGTCCTCTTTTTGGGTTTGGGAAATAAAGTTGGAGCAAACACCCTAGAACTGTTCTGCCAAAGAAACTGGCACCTTTATCCAGAAGGCCTGGAGGACTACAACGGAAACCTGCCAGCCTATGGAGAAATATTATAGGTGAGAAAGGAATAGGCCAGTAGAGAAATTCCAAGAGCGGAGATATGAAATGTACATTCTTGGTCTTTCAAAGATGGGGAAGACAAAGTGATTGTATGAAAAAAAAATGGTGTCAATTTTACCTGCTCTGAGCAATGTGAGACCAGAAAGACAGCAGTGGCGCTGCACCATGTGAGGCAAGAGTGCTCAACCTTTTGAAGAGCGAGGGCCACTTAGCAATTTGTAAACTGGTCGCGGGCCACAATGAAATGGAATGGTTCAGGATTTCAAATAGCATGATGAACACGGGAGGGAGAGAAGAAGCCAGCTTTCAGCAGTTGCAGAAGCAAAATGGAGAGGATCAATTTCTGTATATGTCACCCCCGTCACCCATACTATTCCAAGTGTAGAGCAGAATATAAAAGGGAGGCCACACAGGCCCTCTGGAGCATGGGTCGGAGTCACCATTGTGACCCCGAATGCTACACCAGTGGATGGGGGAGGATGTGGTAAAAAAGACTCTGCCCCCCCCCAAACGGCAAATATGAACAAACTCTTACTGTCCTGAGCCCTATAAGGCTGCTTTCACACTGATGTGCTGTGATTTACCCACACCCAGGGAGCAGCATAGTGCACCTGTGGGTTTCCTGGAGGTTAGCTGTGCTTTGCTATTGACTTGTATTATATCTTGTGGGCGTGTTGCACTTCTGAAAGTGCACAAAAACTCCTGTATTCAATTTGAGATGGGGGGCCACATGTGACCCACAGGCCACACGTTGAGCACATCTGGTGAATACTCTGGTAAGTGTTAAGAGAAACAGATTGGAAGGTTTTATTTTACCTTAAAAAGGGAAAGTTCACCTTTGGGAACATGTTACATATTCCACCCAGTTTTTGGGTGGATATGTAACGTGTTCCCACTGCTGTAGCAGCTGCATGTAGTGACAGCTAGCGGGGGATCTTCTCCCACCTCCAGCTATCACTTTTTTTTTTTTTTTTTAAACTGGCCGTGCGGGGCACCACCTGCCTAGCCATTCACAGAAGTCTGTGAATGGAAAACTACAAGTACCGATAGCCTTTGCTGCTGTCAGCTTGTAATTCTCAATAAATGAGCACAGAGCTCTTAAACACTGCGGTAGTTCATTGTCTCTTCCAGTCATTGTGTATCTGCCTGCATGTACAAGGTACAAGCACACAGACAATGGCAAGTTGCAGAACTCTTCCATAGCACCTGTGGTCGAGTGAAATGCTTTCTAGGCTTGAAGTTAAAAAAGAAAATAATAAATGCACATTTTTTTTTATCTCCAAAAAGAAATGCTTTTATTATCTCTTTAAAAAAAAAAAAAAAAAAAAAAAGTGAACTTATTTAAACCTCTCGCTGATAGAGCAGTTTTTGCATTTTTTGCACACATTTAAAAAATCATTTTAGGCCTGAAGATTACACAAAATCCCCAGACATATTTTCTAAAAGCAAACACTGGAGAATAAAATAGTGGTAATTTTTATGTCATACAATATTAAAGCAAAGGTCTACGAAACACAATATCAGTAAATAACACACAAAAGTGAATTTTACAGCAAACAAACTCAATAAATTACCCACAATTTTGGTACAATATAAAAGACAAGGTTGCACCGAGTAAATAGAGACCCAACTTGCCAAACCTTACATTTGTGTGCACCCGTGATATGGCAACAAACTTCAGTACACTATATTTTCTATAGGCGACAATTCAGAAGCCTCTACAGGTCATCAATTTAGTGTCACGGAGAAATTATTGTGCTAGAAATATTGCTCTCACTCCAGCGTGCGCGGCGATATGTAACATGTGCATCGCATTTGACGTTTTTGCACGCAGATGCATGCGTTTATGTTCATACATATGTGTATATGTGGGGTGGGAGGGGTGGAAACACTGCTGATAGAAGCAACAGGTTGATCCTCCAGTTTCCAAGTGGTGTGCACTGCATCAAGAAGAGCTGAAAGTCTCCTTTACCAGGTAGTAATAGCAGAAGACTCCTCGGGGCAAGCTCATCAATCAAAGACTGGAGCAATTCAGAATCAATTCAGTCTCCGAGACTGATGGATTAGAAACTTATGGGCAAACAAAATAAAGAATCTGCAGGAAAAGGGGTAAGAGCATGCACCAGTGGTCTCTGAGATGAGAAGTGGCACATAACTGAGTGATTGAGTGAAAAAAGAAAAAAAAAACCCACAACAAAAAACACATCCTCCCCTGATGACTGGATGGATTGAACCTCAGTCCATCCACGATGAGATGGACCCTCAAAAACTGAAGTTCCATGTGGCAGAAGCAATAGCGGGGAGATATTTCTTTGAATTGTATGGCGGTAAAGAACTTGTCCCGACTGGCCAACTTACTACTCCCAACTCTTCAGAAAAAGGGAAAGTTCAGTGATAAAGCCATCAGTTTGGACCTATAAAGTGCTCTAGAGCTAACCTTTACCAGAAGGGATCCTGGAAAGCAGACCCCAGTCTATTCCCCTAGGTGTGTCATTCAACAGATGGGAAACAAATACATACAATATACAGTGCCTTGAAAAAGTATTCATACCGCTGAAATTTTCCACTTTTGTCATGTTACAACCAAAAACGTAAATGTATTTTATTGGAATTTTATGTGATAGACCAACACAAAGTGGCACATAATTGTTAAGTGGAAGGAAAATGATAAATGGTTTTACAAATTTACAAATAAATATCTGAAAAGTGTGGCATGCATTTACATTCAGCCCCCTTTACTCGGATACCCCTAACTAAAATCTAGTGGAACCAATTGCCTTCAGAAGTCACTTAATTAGTAAATAGAGTCCACCTGTGTGTAATTTAATCTCAGTGTAAATACAGCTGTTCTGTAAAGCCCTACAACTTTCTGGCCTACAAGCAAAACGCTTTGTGCGGAGGAAAACTAACACTGCAGATCACCCTGAACACCATCCCCACCGTGAAACATGGTGGTGGCAGCATCATGTTGTGGAGATGCTTTTCTTCAGCAGGGACAGGGAAGCTGGTCAGAGTTGATGGGAAGATGGATGGAGCCAAATACAGAGCAATCTTTTAAGAAAACCTGTTAAAGTCTGCAAAAGACTTGAGACTGGGGTGGAGGTTCACCTTTCAGCAGGACAATGACCCTAAACATACAGCCAGAGCTACAATGGAATGATTTAGATAAAAAGCATAGTCACGTGTTAGAATGGCCCAATCAAAGTCCACACCTAAATCCAATTGAGAATCTGTGGCAAGACTTGCAAAATTGCTGTTCACAGACGCTCTCCATCCAATCTGACAGAGCTTGAGCTATTTTACAAAGAAGAAAAGGGCAAACATTTCACTCACTAGATGTGCAGAGCTGATAGAGAGATACCCAAAAAGACTTGCAGGTGGTTCTACAAGTATTTACTTTTTCAGATATTTGTAAAAACTTTTGAAAACCATTTATCATTTAACTTCCACTTCACAATTACAGTATCTCACAGATATCTAGACATTAACGGCTGTATGTTGAGTTATTTTGAGGGGACAGCTAATTTACACTGCTATACAAGCTGTACACTCACTACTTTGCAATGTAGCAAAGTGTCATTTCTTCAGTGTTGTCACATGAAAAAATAGAATAAAATATTTTCAAAAAAGTTTGGGGGGGTACTCACTTCTGTGAGATACTGTATGTGCCACCTTATGTTGGTCTTATCACATAAAATCTCAAAATACATTTACGTTTTTGGTTGTAACATGACAAAATGTGGAAAATTTCAAGGGGTATGAATACTTTTTCAAGGCACTGTATTTGTAAGAAAATTATATATCAATAATAAAGCATGAGAGCACAGCTTATTTAAATTAAATGAAGTAAAGCTAGCCACAAAATGATAGATCAGATGTCAGTCCATCATTTCTTGAGACTCCCAATGAACTGAAGATACACACATCTGGTAAACAGTTTGTCCCTTCTAGATGGAAAGTAAATTGGCCAGAACACACATTTTAGCCAAGCTGAAAAGTCTGAGAAGTGCTTGTAAATGTTCCCTTGAGTATTCCCAGTCTGATCCTTACCAATATAAATGGCCACTTTCACATACTGCGGATTCCATTGCAATCAGCAGGGTATCTATGAGCTGATCCCCTGCTGATCGGAGCAGAGCAGGCAGACATCATCAGTGTCAGCTCAGTTTCTGCAGAGCAAACATGGACAGAGCCCGCTCTGCTCTATGGGTGGCTGGGAGTAAAATGGACTCTGCTGTGCATTTACACACAGCTATCTCTGTTCTGCCTAAACGGAAGAGAATAGAGCCCTCTCCTGATTTTTTTTTTTTTTTTTTTTTTTAAGAGGGCCTGTTCAGACTCAAAAGGTAGTTAACACCCACCTGTTCATAGGGATTGACAGGCGGACCTGATCAGAACGTCCATCTGAAAGGGTCCTAAGGTGAAGTACAGGATGAGACTGGTTAGGACCACCCTTAGGCTGGCCATAGACAGGCCGTTTATCGGCCGATAAACAATAAAATCGGTCGTTGCCGTTGCTGCCACCAATGTCCATGAAAAATGGCCATTTTGGTTTGTGGTTTTTCGTGGATTTTCCAGCACGGCCGATAAAAATAAACGAGAAGATCTGCGAAAAATGGCCGACGGGCTGGCCCCACTAACAGCGTGAATATCGGCCGATTTTTTGTGCAGACGAAAATTTGGCCGATAAACGAACCATTTTGGCCTGCATTATACAGCTCAAAGGCAGATTAAAGATTCACTTACCCATTCGTACAACAGGGCAACTTTTCTTGCACTCTTGACGACACTTCTTTGGCTTACATTTGTCATGATTAACAATAGCTATTCTTGTTAACTTGTCTGCCATCTTGAGGGTGTAGTATTTCCAACACGATTAAAACAAGACCTAAAATATGGAAAAAAATTATTATAAGGCAGCCATTCTCAAACTGTGAGATTGCACAGTGACAGTAACTACTGCTAGAAAATTCTGGAAGCTTGCTTAAAAAGGAGCTTCAGCCATTTTTGTGTTTATTAAAAGTCAGCAGGTACAGTTTTTGTAGCTGCTGACTTTTATCAAACAGACACTCAACTTACCCCTACCTTCCATTCCCACTGGGAAGCTGATCTGGGCATTCATTTTACAGACGTACAGGAGGAGAAGATTCTCCACTTTGCACAGAAATCATCCATTGCCTCAAGTTCAGGAAACTGGTTATAAAATCTTGACCAGGTAGTATAGGGTTCCTACGACCTTACATCGCATCTTTCCCCAAATTCCGAACCTATGTTGGAGATGTGGTGCTGCCCAGGGTTATGAACTTCCAAATCTTCTGGGCCTGCTCTAAGATTAAACCATTCTGGCAGATCGTGACTGGCACCATTAAGGACTTGACGACTGTGACATGGCACGTGATCCAGCAGCCAGTCTATTACACCTTAAAGATCTCAACATTAAAAAGTATAAGGCCCCATTGACGATTCAACTACTAAACGCAGCGAAAGCTTGCATTCCCCTGTGCTGGAGGTCTGTACACCCACCTACGAGAGCCCTCTGGTTTTTCAAAGTCAATGAGCTAAGAGACATGGAGGACCTCACAGCCTCTTTATATGACCGTGGAAAATTTTTCTGAGACACCTGGAGACTGTGGCAATCTCCTGGGCCAGTCTGAGGGGCCCCACCTTGCCTGATTGGTGTGGTTCCCGGATGGGAGAGATGCTCTGCCTTATTCCGCTACTCTACTCAACTGGTTTCTTCTCGACTTTATATTCTATTTCCCTTGATGACCTTTGTTTGAGATCTGTGTCCCTGCCTCCTTTTCCTCACCCTCTTCCCCCCTCTCTCACCTTGTTCTCCCACCCCTTTTTTTTCCTGTCCCGCTTTCCTCTGCCCCTTTCCTATATCCCGTCTATTATCCTACTTAGCTCCACCCATTCATTCATAGGTTGGTCTATTGGTTTCCCATATCATCAGGCGTTATATACCGGAAGCGACGTATCAGTGTGGTGCCGGAATCTCTGTTTGGGTCCCTTTCCCCTCTTCTCTTTTGGCGGTACATGAGCGACCATTGGTAACCCGGCTCTTTTTACCGCTTTTACAGGTGGTTGAATACACTAGACCTTGTGCTCAGGCACCATGGGTCAAGATATTGTAGCTGCATAACTGCCTTATTATGCTGTTGTTTTTACCACAACCTCAATAGTTTACTTTTGTATCCTCTTATTTTGGTTCATCTGCCGCCAAGTTTTTTATTATCTTTTGTATACTTTGTACTGCGCAGTCTCTGGCTTTTTGAACAAGGAAAATTTTTAAAGGAATTAAAAAAAAAAACAAAAAAACTCAACTGTCCCAGGTTCCAGCGATATGCTCACCTGAGCTGTCCCTTCCCTCCGTCTTTTATCCCCTTGGCATCTCAAATGTAGACACCAGCCGTGACAGCTTGTGGCTTCACAACCGGGTGCCCACTGAGCGTGCCCGGGCCTCGCTGCACATTGTTAATGGTCACGCTTCCCAGAAGACTGTGGGAGGAAGGGGGAGAAGAACTTCTGCTTCCGATCTCCTAGGCAGCCGAAGCAGAAGTGGGAACGGGCACCTGTCAAAATCATGTACCTGCCCCAACCCCCTCCTCCAGGGGGCTGGGCTGACCCAGGTTGTGTGTCTGAATAGATGCAAATAGCCTGGCTCAGGAGCAAGCCCACATGAGTACCCCTATAGGAAGTGGCTTAATATGGGGGCACTTGGCAGGGGGTGGGGATTTGGGCTGGAGCCATGAGAGCATGCAGGGGACCTGAAAAGAGGAGGCTGTTATGTACAAAACCACTGCACAGAGATAGTAAGTATGACTTGTTTGGTAGCTTATTTAAATAAACTGAACCTTTAATATCACTTTAAAGCTAGTTAAGTAAAGGCTGGAATTCCAATTTAAGCTTCCTTCACTACTTGTGAGTCACTTAACCAAAACCAGTATGTGTGTATCTGAATCCTCAACACATTACTGACTGCATGCTTGCTTAAAACAATTATGTACTGAAACCTAAATCAGGACATTATTACAAAAAACAAGATAGCAATGGCAGCTTCCAGATATCTATCCCTTAGAGGTACCCTTTTAAAGTGGAAACAAAGTCCACTTTAGATCTTGTACCTACAGGTAAGCCTATAATAAGGTTTACGTGTTGCAAGCATTCAACCTATGTGTGTAGCCCTTTAAATGTCCTTGGATATTTCCAGCTCAGAGGCCTTTTCCCTACACCTGTAGGTACAGTGAAGATCTAAACTTGCACTGTTTAAGAGATATTCACATAACATGCAACCGGTAACATCACTGGTGCACGCACTCTGAAAGGACAGCATATCGTGCTGGACCTTCAGAGCTCCGTGCCACAACCCAGGGCTCCCATGCGCATGTGCGGGAGTGATGTCATCATGGCCCCAGCCATTCATACAGCAGGAGCCCGCAAACCCTGAAGGAAGACCTGGAGGTGACAGCGCTGCACTGGAGGGCTCCGTGTTAAAGTAAGTGTCATAATGTACTAGTGTGTGCTGTATACTAGTGCATTATGACCTAAACCTGCAGGGGTTTACTACCGCTTTAAAAAAGATATCTTCATGCAATTAACAGGGCACAGATCAACTGGATAGCTGAACCAGGATCCAAAAAGTACTCTAAATTTCTGCTTTCTAGTATTCCCCCAAGCTGGTGGGCCATGTGGAACTGTGCTACGTTTCTAAAAATACCATGGCTCCTTGGCCAGCTCTGAGATCTGTAGTGGGGCCTATTAATGGCACAGAAAATGCATGTAATGTTTGACAGATATAACTATTATTATACAGGATTTATATAGCACCAACAGTTTGCTCAGCGCTTTACAATATAAAGGGAGACAATACAGTTCAATACAAGAGGGATAGGAGGGCCCTGCTCCTTGGAGCTTACAATCTAGGAGACTATAGTTATCCTTTAAAGCAACACTCACGTAAATAAGGGCTCAATACAAAAAGTGTTCCCTTTATACTCAACTCTTGGGCTGCTCTCACCACCAATCTCTGCCCTAGTGAAGAGAAACCAGTGGATAAAAAGTTTGAAGAATGCAACAAGTCCAGAAATGCCATTTACCTGGTCCCCCAGTGCCCACTGTGGTTTCTCCCACCAGCCCCTTCATTACCACAAGACACAGAAAGGGCAGAAGACACTCAAGTGTTGAATCCTGCAGCATTTTCACTACTCCAGTGTATACGGATGGAACCATGGTTGTCATTCAAGCTTGACTTCTAACATGTCTGCCTATGTTCTTCATTACATAAGGGGTGTTTTCAGCTCAGCTTAAAAGTGACATTTCTTGCAAGTAGAGTTAATTTTTCAGGTCTGTAGCACAATTAGTTGTAGGGCAAACTACTGCAGGCAAGCAGTGACTTTTAGCAAGAACATATTCTTAAAACTTTTCTTGCAAATTTACTAGTACTTATCAAGAAAAATAAAACAAAAAACAAAATGTTATTATGCCTACCAAACTGGCCAATGTTATTTAACATTTTAGGGTTTGCAAAACCAGCACAGAAGCACAAGCAGAGCAAAGCAACTGTTACACAAAGGCTGGAAAGATAAGAATGGGGGTGTAAGTTTTGTAGAGTGCAGCTATCTTATTAGTCAAGGGACAGCTGGACAGTTCCCTCTGCAGATGTGTCCCAGTAACAAATCAGCAGAGCTAGAGCTGAGCACTTATGCAATGTTATCAGATATTGTATGAAGCCATCATTTAAGGCGATAACTGAAAGAAAAAAAAAGCCATTGGCTCTTGCTACGGTCAGTCAAGTTCTGTGAGGAGTGCGTGGGAGGTGTGGCTTAGCAGCAATGTGTGTCTATGGACAAACACAGTCTGGCTTTGGGGCACCCCAGCAGTAGTGCCCCTTAACACACTGCTTGCTAAGTGGGGACTTGAAGAGGACAGTGCCTGCAGGGGAACCCAGAACAGGTGGTAAGAGACCGCTCTGTACAGTCCAGAGCCCTGCACTGCACAGCACAAGTTGCCAGAAAGCTGCATTAAAAGCAAACATAAAAAATGCTGGGGGCCCTGAGAGGTTACAGTGGAAATAAACTCTGCTATATTTACCTAAGCTTCACCTATGCTATGTATGTTAGCTCACTCATCAGCATGTTCAGACAATTTGGAATGGCCAGAGCATGACGACAACTCCTGTGCATGCACTTTGGAATTAAAGAGAAGTGCAGGATTGGGTAAAAAAAAACAAACATCTATAATCACCTACACAGAATCAATCTGATTCTGCATCTGTCCCCCGCTACCTCTAAACCGAGAACTGAGCGATCAAAATCCACTGACTGCTCAGTTCTTGGGTCTCCTCTGTGCTCTTCCCCCTCTAGCAGTCATTGGAGCGCCAAACTGTGGAGGGCGTGGAAACAGCTGGTTTAGGCTCTCAGCAGCATGCTGAGAGGTTGAAGTAGCTGCAGGTCAGGCATCTGGGTGGATCCCAACATTGTTGAAATCGCCTACAGAGCCTGGACTGGCTCTGTGATGCCAGCAGACAGCGGGATTTAGCTGAATGTGGGTTACAGAAGTGCAGAAATAAGTGCACTCCAGTGACTTACAGGAGAAGTATAGCCAAAAGAACTTTGGCCATACTTTAATTCATCCCAGGACCCAGGAGATGCTGGTACTGTACATTTTACACTTAAAGAACATTGTAAATGAGAAGTTAAGGGGGTTTTATGATAGAAAAGACAGGCAAGTTAACTGGCACTGGGTTTTTTTTTAGCAAGTCACTTTTGTCAGATTTTGGACTTGCATCCATTTGACACACTTCTGATATCATTCAAGGTATCTAGCCCTCCTTTTGAATGCATACAT